CGCCATCTTGGCTGGCAGTTAATTTGCATATCGCCCTGATTAGCCAATGGGAAGGGTAGCAGTTGTATGCTAATTACCATGTTTCTCTTTTATTAGATAGGATATGAATTCAACAGATGATAGCTATGATTTTTCACACACACACACACACACTCTAGGGGCCCGGTGCATGCAAATTCATGCACTTGGGGGGGGGGAGTCCCTCAGCCCATCCTGTGCCCTCTTGCAGTCTGGGAGCCCTTGGGGGATGTCTGACTGTTGGCTTAGGCCCGCTCCCTATGGGCGAGCGGGCCTAAGCCCTCAGTCGGACATCCTTAGTGCTGCTGTGGAGGCAGGAGAGGCTCCCACTACTGCTGCTGCGCTCGCCAGCCATGAGCCTGGCATTTTTTTTTATTATATAGGATGAATGGATTTACAAAGGAAAGGAGATCATATAACAAAAGGGCCTAGGAGAGTGTCCATCAGCACTCAATTCACAGTAGGTCTTTGTCTAGGGTCATAACAGTTGGAGACTTAAGTAGGGCTTGAACATGCCTTCTGACTTCAAATAGTCTCTGACTCACTCCAGATACCCCCCTTCTTAGCCTTATTTGGGTTGTTGATCTTCCTGGCAATTTATTGTCTGCTCTTTCTCAGAAGTAAGGGTAAACCTCCCAGAATGGGCTGCCATGGCTGCATTCAGTTCTTAAAACAAATCATGTCCCCAAGCCACTACCACCTTACTTTGATTCTAAATAGGTTTTTACCCCTGCACTCTGTTGATTTCTTCAAGTATCCCCAAAAGATTAGAGAGAACCGTAAATGCATGCATTGTGGCATAATCATAAAGGCTATGATACTATCCCATTTTTGTCACTTAATCCCCACAGAATGAATGATGATGAGCAAATGATTCCATCTTCACTGAGACGTGTTTGAAGTTCTGAATTCTAAGTGATGTGAAGTGCAGCCTAGTATTATTCAGATGCCGGTTCTCCTTGAAAGAGCTTACACTCCACAGGCCAGCCAGGACCTGTTTCTTTGACCTCTGTTGGAAAGTCTTCTCACAGTTTGGGCTTTCAGGTGGCATACACCACTGTCTTTTCACTCCCTCAGCTACCACTGCCTGAAGCCATTCTTACCCATGTTGGTCTCTGATAGCTTTAAAAAAATGTTTTTAAGTGTATTCAGTGGTAATGGTAGGGAAACAGAATCAGACCTAGAAGTTCACAAGCTGAGGGGCAAGCCCAAGTCACCATAAAAATCTCCTTTGGCTCTTTGTCACTTCAGGTCAGGAAATTAATTGTTTTGGATCCTAAGAAACGGCTGACTACCTTCCAAGCTCTCCAGCACCCATGGGTCACAGGCAAAGCAGCCAATTTTGTACACATGGATACTGCTCAAAAGAAGCTCCAAGAATTCAATGCCCGACGCAAGCTTAAGGTAAGATGGCATTTGACTTGTTTTAAAGATGTCTCCCTTATCTTGAACTACCAAAGACAATTCCACCATTCTTCATCTAATACTATTATTCATCTCCTGTGGTAACAGGAGAATCCTGCTTTGAGATACCAACCATGCTGGCATAAAACCACTTACAGTCTTAAATTATCCGTGATAGTAATTTATTGTTAAAAAAGGGAAATATGTTGTATATTGAGATTTACTCACCAAATACATTATCACTGCTTCTCATTTACTTAAAGCTGACCTGATTAAATGGCATTGTTTAGGAAACTGATATTTATTCAGAAAGTTGTCTTCTTCATGAATATGTGAATATTGGGAAACAATCTTTAAAAACTATGTTTTATAATATAGATAAATAATTAGCATACTTGGTAAAAATTTAAAAAATTCAAATGACAGAAAATTATCCAGAGAAATGTATCTATTTTTATAAGACATATGTGGAATAGAGAAAATAGCTTTTCTCTTATATATTGGTGTTTAGGACCAGCTGTATATACAAGGATTTTAGAGAATAGCTGGGGGCAAAAAATGGTGCTCTACTCAGACATCACTTATAGGCCGATACTAAATAAACCTGAAGTGTTTCATGGTTAAACTAATTTAAATAATTAAGGATTAAATAACCTTAATTAACTCGGGATTTCTCAAATAAGTCTGACCATGGAACTCTTTTATCCCTATAACCTCTATTATAATACATCTATGGAACCAATGTTTCATGAAACGAATACTTTGGGAAACACACTCTAAAATTTTTGAAAACTGGTAATCCATGGACAAACACATTTACTCGGACTTTCAATTGTCCAGATAATTGAATACACAGACCGGTTTAGGATTAAAGAGATTTTTCTGTTATTTCTCCAAACGAGTTTTCATATAACAATCTTGGTATAATTAATATTTTGAAAGATTGAACACTAACATAAAAAGCAAACTTCCTAGATGCAAAGTTGAGATTGGGCTCTAGTTTGGGATTTTCAGTGGAGGTGACACCCGACCCTTCTGTTTCCAATCAGGCAGCAGTGAAGGCCGTGGTGGCCTCCTCCCGGCTGGGCAGCGCCAGCAGTAGCCATGGCAGCATCCAGGAGAACCAGAAGGCCAGCCGAGAGCCATCTCCAGTCCACGATGGCAGTGAAGCTGCTGTTGAAGCTGTTCCAACAGAGAAAGTTAAAAAAGATGGGGCCCAAGTGACAGCTGAGATGGCAGAGGCTGAGCTGAGGAAGAGCTGGGCTGAAGAAGAAAATCAAAATGCTGATACAAATGATGCTGAGGCCAACTTGATGGTGCCCAAGGCCCCAGAGGATGGGATAGAGGTGGCTGACCCAGAAGTAGAGGAGGGCCCAGCAGAGGAGCAGCTGAACATTGTGAAGGAAGAAGCAAACCCTGAAGCAGAGCAAGAAGAGCCTGGAGAGCCTGCTGTGGGATTTGGAGCTGAGCAGAATGATGTGGTCCTGCCAGAGCACTAAGCTGGCTTCCTTCCAATCTGGAAGCCAACTCCCGGTACTTCATACATTTCGTTCTTCAGCAAGGAAGGCGTGGAAGCATGACATGCGCTATAGTGATTCTGTTTTTGAGTGAGGTGCAAAAATATATATATGTATCAGCTGGTAATCCTAACTTCAATGCATGTGACTGCTTTATGAAAAATAGTGTCTTCTATGGTATGTAGTGGATACTTAATACCGATGAGAGTTAAATTTGAAACTATAAGTAAAGACAACGTTTAAAAACATGCATTTTCAGGGACCAGGAGCACACATTTGAAGTAAATATTAACCAGTGGTTCTTGCTTTGAAAACCTAACCATTGGTACCCTTTGGATTTCTTCACAAGGCAATCATCTCTTTGGACTGTTCCTCAGCCAGTAGTAGGTAGTGCTCTAAGATGTATTTCTATGACATTCACATTTTACTTATCATCAGTGTGTTTCAAGTGTTTACAAGGAGATGGTTATACTTTATAGTTGTATGGCATGTGCAAAAAAATCCACAACGGTAAGAAACTGAAGCATACTTTAAGGGCCATGAAACCATATGCTCCAAAGCTTGTGCAGAGAATGCTTTTTTATTTTATCCTTAGCTGTATATTCTATATTACTAATAACCAAAAATATTCTATCTTACAGTTGTTCCATTTACAATCCTAGAGAAAGTATTTTACCAATTCATCCTTCATTGCTATCTAATGAGATGTCCTTCTGATGGACAACACTTAGGGAGGAGTAAAAAATTTTAGGGAAGCCCTAGCCAGTTTGGCTCAGTAGATGGAGCATCAGCCTACGGACTGAAGGGTCCCAGGTTCAATTGGTCCCAGGTTTGATTCCGGTCAAAGGCGCATGCCTGGGTTGCAGGCTGGATCCCGGATAGGGGGTGTGCAGGAGGCAGCCAATCAATGATTCTCTCTCATCATTGATGTTTCTCTCTCTCTCTCTCCCTTCTCTCTGAAATCAATTAAAATTATTTAAAAAAAATAATTTTAGCTAAGAAAAAAAGATAAGGACAGGATAAGACTAGGACTTAGAATAACATATATAAAAT